CAGGATCAACAGTACTACTTGGAGGTTCGACTGTTGTGCTCACTGGTGGGGCGGGTGTTTCTGGTTCAGTAGTGCTCACAGATGGTTCAGTTGAAGTGCTACCTGGTGGTTCAGATGTTTCTGGATCAGTAGTGCTCACTGATGGTTCTGTTGAAGTGCTACCTGATGGTTCAGATGTTTCTGGATCAGTTGTGCTACCGGATGTTTCATCTGTCNTCACTGGTGGGGCGGGTGTTTCTGGTTCAGTAGTGCTCACAGATGGTTCAGTTGAAGTGCTACCTGGTGGTTCAGATGTTTCTGGATCAGTAGTGCTCACTGATGGTTCTGTTGAAGTGCTACCTGATGGTTCAGATGTTTCTGGATCAGTTGTGCTACCGGATGTTTCATCTGTCTCAGGATCTGTGGTGATGCTTGTGGTACTTTTTCCTGGTGGTTCACTTGTCGGTGGTTCGGTGATGTCTACTAGAGTGTTAGTTGTACTGTCCACTGGAGTTTCNACTAGTCAAATAATCAGTTGTACTGTCCACTGGAGTTTTACTAGTCAAATAATCAGTTGTGCTGTCCACTGGAGTTTCACTAGTCAAATAATCAGTTGTACTGTCCACTGGAGTTTCACTAGTCAAATAATCAGTTGTGCTGTTCACTGGAGTTTCACTGCTTATTGAATCAGTTGTACTTTCCACCGATGTTACACTCGTCAAATAATCAGTTGTAATGTCCACTGGAGTTTCACTCGTCAAATAATCAGTTGTACTGTCCACTGGAATTTTACTAGTCAAATAATCAGTTGTACTGTCCACTGGAGTTTCACTAGTTAAATAATCAGTTGTACTGTTCACTGGAGTTTCACTAGTCAAATAATCAGTTGTACTGTCTACTGGAGTTTCACTAGTCAAATTATCAGTTGTGCTGTCCACTGGAGTTTCACTAGTTAAATAATCAGTTGTACTGTCCACTGGAGTTTTACTAGTCAAATAATCAGTTGTACTGTCTAGTTTTGTTTTGTTTTTTATTGAGTTTGTGGTATTTATTGTTTGTTTGTTTGTTTTTATTTTTATAGATGTTTCTGTTGTAACCTTTTTCTCAAATTTGTTTTTTTTAAACATTGGTGTGCTTGTTTTTTTTATTTGTTGATTTTTGTTTTCTAGTTTAAAAAAAACAATAAAATAAATTTAAAATAAAAAATTTGATTTTTACCTCTATTCTGCAAATTTGTTTTTGATAAATTTTTTATAGTTTCCGTTTTTGTTTCATTTTGTGTAAACTCATCCCACCAGCTTGTTAACCATTGCCAAACGTTACTCATCTGGTTGTTAATATAATTTTTTCCATATGGTGCGGCGTTGTTCACTTCTATAGAAATAAAGTAAACTATTGTACACAAAAAAATAATTTTTGATAATTTTTTCATATTGGTTGTTTTTTAAACGCTGTTTGTTCACATTTGTTTTTCCTAAAATAATTTTGTGTTTTTTGTTAAAAGTTTGTTTTTAAGTTGTGTTTTCTTGTATTTTATTCTTTATCTTTGGTCTATAAATTCTTTACTTTTTTATATCCTTTAACGTATTATTTCATCAAACTTAAGCTTTTCAATTGCATTGATGTTTTATGCCGTTGCCTAGTAAAATAATTGCGGTTTCCTTAATTTTTTTTTATGTCTGTATTCTTTGTTAGTTTGCTTCATAATTTTACCTTTTATAACTTTATCATTGCATTGCACTTATCCCGGATTGAAACATTTTTTAAACTTAGCATTACTAAAAGTTGTTTTACTTTTTAATCAACCAAGTTTTTCGTTGGTTAAAATTTTAATTTGTTTTAAAAATATGAATTTTTTGTTGTTTTTTGAACGCTTTTATTTAAACTTTAATTAATTGTTTAAATTGTTAACCAGAGTTTTTATTTTTTTTGTTAAATTATAAAAAACAAACCCAGTTATTTTTATGTTTAGTCTATTTTTTTATGTTTTACAGTGCTAACATTTATTAAAAATTTTAAATTTT